GATCATAGCCCTGCACATCTCTCTTTTTTTTTATTCCCCATGCTATGTGTGTTTGCATAGAGGCACTTAAATTGGGCCTGCAGTGAAGCTGAATTACTGGTTGGAGTGTCTGGAATTCCTTCATGCTGCTCTTCAGGTGCTCTCCTGCTGACCTGCAACCCCTCCCCAGGCTCTGGGCATCTCCTGCTGGCACCAGCATCAAACTGGTAGGAGTGGGATGGATTGAGGTTCCCCTTCCCATAGCAACTTTAGTTTAAAGCCCTCTTCACTGGCTTGGCAAGCCTACGACTGAAGATGTCCTTCCCCTTCATGAGTATAGCCCATCTGAAAATAAATATCAACAATAAAATACTGGGAAAGACTCAAAACTCCTAACTGTCCACAGTGTAGATGATGCTTGCTAATTCAGTCCTGTGTGAACTGTCATTTCTAGCAAGGCTGTTCCAAATGTTATTAAGGGCACTGCACCATATTGCAGAATGTGTTGGCAATGCCAAAACCAGAGGGAAATCAGGAACAGCAAAAACATAAGGCAGCTGCCAAACACTGATTTTCTTTAAAGGTGGGAAGCAAAGATACCGGGGCTTTTTGAGAGAGAGGAGAAAAAAGTTGGAGTGGTTTTTGCATGTCTGTTCACAAGAGCTGAGGGGGCTAAACACAGTGGTTGAAATTGGTCTAATGTATTCATGTTCTGTGCATAATTACACTTGGGGGAACACATTTGACAAGAAAGGAATAGTAATATATCAGTGCCTATCTGAGCATCTCAGTTGTTACCATGCAGCAACTCATGAGCCCTTGGATCTCCACAGTGACTGTCAATGGAACTTACACTTCTGTCTTCCAAAAGTGTATGTCCCTGCCACCTGAAATTCAAAAAACAGCCCCATGGACTGCAACATGTCAAAGGGAACTCAGAAAACTGGTAAGTCGAATGCTAGTTTCACTTCTAGTTTTGCAACGTGATAGTTTTTAGGGGGGGTTATCAGTGAATGCAAATACTATGAAAACTGTATTTTGTATGTTTCTTATGCATGAACCAGTTGGGTCACCGATCACGGACACCAGAGGGTTGTGGCAAGTGCTGAAGAGTTAAAATTCAGTCACTGAATGAAGTAAAACTTTATCAATCAGAGTATTTGGTGCTGAGTAACCACTGAATCACACATGGTATCAGCAATAAAATGAACTAAAAAATTCCTGCAGGGAGAAATGGACCAGCCCACAAAAGGTCTCACTGGAGTTAAAACTTTATGAATGTGGAAGGCAACTAGAAAAGATATAAGTAGCTCCTGTTCAATGACAAGTCATGCCTGGAAGAAAGAAGAGTCAGGAATTAACTTTACTCTGACAGGAGCTGGCTCAGAATCATTCCATGTTTTTAATTCTTTTCGGTTAACATTAGTGGAGGCGACTGGCCATGAAAGCACTGTAGAAATGTGAGGAAAATATTACTTCATATAAAAATAGGAGTGATAGGGTTTTAAACCAAGAATAAGATCATAAAATGAAAGTATGAGCACTTGTGACTGGTTTAAGGGCTTTCATTCAGCTTTGCTTAGCAAACAGTTCAGGTGCTTTAAGATATTACTGCTTCCCAGTTGTTTGTTGTGGTCTCTTTGTAACAGGTCATCACCCTTTAGCAGAATTGACAGAAGGAAATATATGCCCATGCACAATCTGCTTCAGTACAGGAACCGTGTCTTATTCAAGCCCACCTCTGTTGGTGATTTGAGGCTGGCTGTCAGCCTTTGCCTTAGCTCAGCAGAGGCACAAGCAAACGATCCCTTCTGCCAGCCCTACACTGGTGGTGGTATTGGAAGGATGAGAAAACTTTTCAACTCTTGTAGCAAGATTTTCTGGGTTTTGTCTATCAAAGCCTTAAGCCCGCCAAGACAGTCTTGCACTTTTAGAGTTGTTCGCGGTTTGTTTCTTCTTTTATGTAGGAAAAGAAGTCAAGGGGCTGAGTTACAGGGCTGAGGGGCTAAGTGAAGGGATAACTGTTAAAGGAGCAACACACAGTTAAGATCCAGGACTTAACACTCATGCAGAGACTACATTGGAAAGAAAAGGATAGAAGCATTGGAGCAGGTCTTGTAAGGACTTTGGAAGATCTCACTGGGTTTCAGAACATAGATGAGAAAATGACATTGCCTTCCTTTTTCCACTCTCCTGTGCCCTCCTATTCAAATTCCTAGGACAACAACCTTTATCCCGAAACAGAAATTGCTTTGGAACAGAATAGAGTTGTTGCTCTGCAGAAGGAAAGCAAGTGAAACAGCAGGTAGCATGGGTGCAACTTCCTGGGCAGAGCAGGAAGCACAGTGGAAAAAAAGGGTGGAATCTTTCACTTCTGTGTAGGTCCTAAACCTGTGAAGTGGGAATATTTTCCACCACATTTCTGTTGAGAAGAGTTGGAAATATTTTTCTGCATTTACTTGATGCAAAAAGAAAATAAGGCAGCTTTTGGACCGTTCTCCTCCCTATTGGGAAACACTGTTTTTGAAGATCACCATCTGAGTTGCTTTTAGCAGATGTTTCACATGAAAATACAGCTTTCTGACAGTCTAGAGGTTGATAAGTTATACATAGATGAAATTTTGATGTGAGAAAAAACAGTAGGTTGACAAGTGACTCCTGGCAGCTTTGAAAAGAGTTACAGCTTCTGGAATAAAGCAAAAAGAAACAAAAAAAAATGTAAATTTCATATGGTGGAAATGGCATACCTCATTCAGAAGCTAACCCAATTATATATATGTGGGGAGATGAAAGTACAGCTGAGGCTATCACCTACCTGCTTTAACAAGCTGGAAGGTGCTTCCTTTTTTATTTTCATGTTTCTCATAAGTGTATTGTCAAAACGAGAGATCACTCAGACTGACAAATGCAGAATGGTGATGAGAGCAAAGGAAGGACTCTGGCTCTAGTAATTAGGTGTAGAAAGTTTTTGTCTTTATTAGCGAGAATGTTATTTACAAGGTGCGGATGGAAGCATAAACCACTTCTTGCCATTGCCAAAAGCATTTCACAGACACCCTTTCTACACCTTGGAGAACAGATACTTCTTTTCAGCTGTGCATGTATGATTTCAGATTGAATTCACATCTGGGGAAAAATGCATTGGTTGGTACATTCACAATAGCAGGGCTCTGCAACTGACAATTTAATCTGGCCCCAAAAGTATTACTAACATTTGAGATGCATTTGCACATTACCAGGTGTTTAGTCCTGTGAGCTGCTACTGCATCCATGACACAGAAGAGTAGTGAGAGAGACCAAACTGAAGAGATTTCAGAAGAGGCATCCAGCCCTGATTCAAAAGGTCAGACGTCTCTGGCATGGAGGTTTGGCAAAAGTGCAGCAGAGCAAAGTCTTAAGGCAGACTATGTATCTGTTGAACTGATAAAGAAGAAATACCAAACGTTCTGATCTCAGATGCAACTTGGATTGGTGAGATACTAAGGAAAGTACTAATACTACTGTTGTATTATGATACCTAGCTAAAAATAGAAAATAGTGATATAATATTAGCATATTCACAGCTATTGTTACTGATTTATGGATGATCCACATACTGCAATCCTAGATGAGATGTTCTCTAAAAAGATGTTTCCAATGTGTTGCACAAAAACTATCTCAGAAACTACAAAAAAGGAACGTAGATATTGGAAAGACAAGAAATGAAAAGTTTGAAGTTTGTTGCATATGCCAAAAATACAGTCCAAGTCAAATGAAAAGGCTTGTACTGGCACTAAATTGTTGAACCCCTGGAGCAAGGTAGGCATAGGTTTGTTTATGCTGGCTGAAGAAGACTAGTATTTGTCCTAGCTTGCTGTTTTCACTTTCTGATGATAGCTTTACTAAAAAATACTGCAACTGAGTAGGCAATTAGGCATAACAAATTATTTTTGATGTAGAAAGAATGAAATGCGAGCCACAAAAATTAGCAGATAACTTGAAGAGTTTTGTGGGAAGTGGAGTCATGTAACTGCCAGTCCTTGTTATCTCAAATCTAAAGTGTTGTTAGAAAACAGTATCAAAAAAAGCACTGCAAAATAACCTGCAGAACCAGACTGATCTGTATTTAGACTAAATTACAGAAGGACAATAATTAAATTTAGGTTGTCATCCACTGACATTTTACATGACAGAATGCTGTATAAAGCATACTAGACTGCTGTATAAAGACAGGAGGAGAGCAGGATAAAAATCCTGATGTGATCTCATGACCCAAATGCTGCCATCACTTCATAAACTGATACTGTGCATCAGGGAATAATGGTCTTGGAACACAATGACATGCTTGTATGAGAACATCACTCTTCATATATACTGTGAAAAGACGGGTGACCCCTTTTCACAAATGGTAGTAAGAGATACAGGTTAGCAATCTTGCCAGAAAATGTCATCATGCTGAGGACATCTTTTCTGAGAAGGAAATGTTAACTGCTGAGCCTTAGGAAGCTGCCATCCAGAGTCAAAGGGCCTTACTGGCCTTGACTAGCCTTGCATGTGGCCTCCCCTCACACCTTGCCTATGGCCCAGAGGCTCCATTTCAGCTCATCCTCAGGCCCAGAGCCTCCATTTCAGCCCATCCTCAAGCACCCAGCCCTGTCTTGGGGAGGTGTCCCTCTGCCCAAATTGCAGCTTGGACATCCCAGGTTGACCTCACACCTGGCTGGTGGCCTCACATATGTGTGGTGGTCTGGACAGTGGAACTGGACCATCATCTCAACCTGACACTGCTGACTAATGCAAAGAAACCCTTCGCATGTCAGGCTCGTTTCTCCACTGGAGACTTGGTGTACAAGACAAATACATTTGAGAGTTTTATATTTCAAGGCCTCACTCTCATTTTGGTTTCTTTGAATGAGCTGACTTCAGAACTTCTTATGAATTAATTCATTTCAGCATCCAGCTGAGATGCTCTACTGTGCTTATGTAGGAAGTGACCAAGTTCCAGTATAACTCCCTGCTCATAAGGCTTTTTCCTTTTGCAGTTGAAAGAACCTGGTTCTTCTCACTAAAGTAAGCTATCTCATGCATGAAAATCATCATAAGGAACAGGAGCCTTTTCTTCAAGACACCAAAACTGATGGTATTTCAATCCTATCATTTTTAATTCTGACCTTACCTCTGCCACTACAGAGATCAGTGAAAACAGCTCTTTTGAGGCTTCAGGATGTCACACCTTTATTTGTGAGATCAAAGAGCCTGTTATTACTGAATTCCTGTTCTCCAGGTAGGTACTTAAGTAATTTTTCACCTGTCTTCAGTGCCCTAAGTAGTTTGTTCCATGAATTCCATGAGGAAGTTTCCATTTTAATAGTTCTAGAGGACCTTCTCTGAAATGTCTTTGATTTTTCAAAATCTTTATCAATTTGTAAGCACCAGAGCTGGGCTTATTATTCCAGCAGGATGACACACAGCAGTATGTAACCTTCCTACACTTTCTGAGTATAAATTCCTGGTTACATGTAGGCATTGCATTACCATGGGAGAGCCTGTTCACCTGATTTATTGCTCACAAGCTTCTGTTTTATTTCTTCCCCATTATTTGTAGATGAATGAGTTTTTCTGTCACCATGTTGAAATACACGTGGTTTTATTAAACTATTTACCAAGCTGTACAAAGTTCTACATGAGTGGTGAGTCCCCTAATGTTTTAGTCTTCTACAGACTTCAGGGTGATAATTTTGACTTTTCTTTGGGGGTCTGTGATAACAATTTCAATGGTATAGGGGACAAAACCATCTAAGAATATACTTATGAATTGAAGAATACTCTCTTACAGTTGCTCTTTTGGTCCCATGAAGTAACCGTGTTTCATATTGATTTAGAGTTGTTTGGTTCTCAGTCTTCCAGTTAATTAAAATCTTGAAATGTCCTGAAATGTATTATTATACTGAAAGATCTGCCTCAAAATGCAATAATTAAAGCTTTGGTGACCAAAATAAATTTATATGACTACAAACAATCCCAGCTTCACTAGTGAAGTTTAATGGCAATGTTTTGCAGAGTCATGCAAGATTGCTGGAGTTGATTTGTAGTTCTTGTCTTTTGCTTGCTCAGGCAAGGGGGGAAAAACAAAAAACAAGAAAACAAACGTGCATCATACTTTGCTCCAAGTTAGAAATATTTCCCATCATTCAGGGAATGCTTATTACAAACAGCTAAATGTAGCACTATTGGTCATCTGCCACTGCACTGATGCAATGTAGTCTGCTTCACGTGGTGGAAGACGAGGAGGGAAAAAAAGATAAGGACTGGAAAGCACAGAATAATGTAGAATAGTTTCCAGGCCCTATCTATCTCAGTTCAGCTCCTTAAAACCTTCGCATTAAAATGCATCGTGCAGTGTCAGGGAAACAAAGTGAAATTTTGGTGAAAGAAAATGAGAAATTTTTTGTTCCTGTTTAGTATCAGTCATGAATATTGGCTGTTCCAGAACAGCTAGCCACTGATCCAGATGAAAAAGCTTCAAATAAGAGAATGGGTAATCTCAACACGAGGCACCTCACAGTAATTGTGTCTTGATTTGAGGCCCAATATTGAAAGGCACATCTGAGAGATATTTAGTGGCTTAACTGACCCCGAGGAAGCTCAGAAATGAGTCAATGAAACTAGAACACTTGTTATGTATGCACTCAGTTTGTAGCCTAGCTGTAGGTAGAATAAAAAGGCTCAATTCCAGTTGCAAATGTGAAGTATCTAAACATCTACTTACACATGCATTAAGTATATCATAAGTAGTAATCAAATCTATTTGTCTTTTTCAAAATAATTGGGATACATTTGAAATTAATGGATGCATTACCAGTTATCTGGCTGAAGGGACTGAGTGAACCCTCAGTAAATTTGCAGATGACAGCAAGTTGGGTGGGAATGTTGATCTGCTACAGAGAGATCTGGACAGCCTAGATCTATGGGCCAAGGCCAGTTGCATGATGTTCAACAAGACAAAGTACTGGGTTCTGCACTTGGGCTACAACAACCCCATGGAATGCTACAGGCTTGATATTAAAGGTCTTTTCCAACTTAAAAGACTCTATGATCCTGTGAAAATTATAATTATTTGTTCTCTTACAGTGCTGTCACACTGTACTACTTTTACAAACAAATCTGAACCAAAAAGTATTAACGCTAGAATGTTAAAATTAATAAGCAGATCCCTGGAAAAAGTATGGTAGATTTTTAGAAGTAATTAAAGTGAGAGAATCTATGAATATAATTTTAAAAGCCTATAGAATTTATTAAAAAAAAACGTGCACTGAGTCTGAAACTAGTTCGTAGAATATAATAGAAAAATTTCTCTTTGGCAGTGCTTGCTGTTTGGAGTAGAGAACATATACCTTTCTTTGTGTTGGCATTGCCTCTGTCATGCTGTGGAATGTTAAAAGAAAACTTAAAAATGGTGCAACTGCAGTGTTGAGTAGTCAAAAGAGCTGTTTTCACTGATTGCAAAGAAGTCTTCTGTTCTGGTTTTCTGATTCTATAGAAGTGTTAAATGCTAAATGAGTTTTCCAGAAGGTTCATTTTAATATCACAAAAGCATATCCAAAAATATACTGGCACATTTATTACAGATATAAATTTGGGCAGGAAGCAGTTAAAAAAAAAATGAGCAAGCCAACTCAGAAAAGCTTAAGCCACTAAGTCCCTCTTATGAAAAATCTAAGTTTCAGATAGCTTTTCTTTAACAAAAAGGATAAATATAAACTACAGAGCTGGACTGTATTCCATTTCCCCTCTACTGTTTTAAATAAGATATCCAAATTCTTTCCATTTGTCATGGAGCATTAAGGGCATATTTTCATCCTGGATTATATAGTATCAATTGGTAATATGCCATGTTGTGATTGACCACAAAACATCATATAACCTGGAGCAAATTTCAGATGTATGGAAGAAGTTCTAGTTGAACAACAAACCATGAAAATCTAGGGGCAGCTAGGCCTCTGACTACAATTAAAGCATGCAGCAAATTCGTTCCACCAACAGGTTTTCCTGTGTTCAATGATTGACAAGGTTTGTTCAACTTCTACAGCACTGTGTGTACTGAAGTTTGTGCATGAAATCATTCCACATATGGGTTATACAGATGCTCTGCAAACTAAGAATACAAAAGCAATTAAGCAAATGAAGCAAAACCCAAGGATGTAGTTTGCATCCCTTTATGTTTATATTTGTATTACAGTCGTTAGCAGAAGACAATACTTCTTCTTACTTCCAAGTCAGGATTTGACTGAATGAATGTTGTGTTATTCCCTTTGGTATGCTGCACAGAAAAGTCTTATCAACAGGCGATGCACATTCTTGCCTTGCCACCAGCAGCAGCACACAGTGTCCCCAACTTGATGGCAGTGACCAGTTTCTTCTGGGTATTCAGTTCCTTCACATTTTCTGAGCATCCAGAAGAGTCCTAGGGATGGCTGTGGTTTTTAATGAAGACTTTAATCCTTAGGGTTTTCACTAAAACTGGTGACTTATTTCAAATCGCCAATTAAATTGGAATCATTTTCTTGGTCAGATTGACCAAGAAAGGTCCAGACTTTGAATCAGTAGTCTCCATATGGAATGTGAAATGTTACTACCAGCTCACTGGTAGTAGGTTTTCAAAACATCCTATATATTTCTAAGGCAGTTTCTTGTGGTACTGCCAGTAATAATGGCACACGAGATGTAAGAAGATGCACTTTTAAGTAGTTGGTTTCTGAATATTTTGTAGCAACCATCCATTTCTCCCTGCAAGCTTTATGTACATCTAATACCCTCACAAAGTCATGTCTGATCACTTGTATACATCAATGTTCCAGTCATTAGGGGAGGGAGGGAAACAACCATAGGCCAGTTTCACAGCCAGATTAATTTTTACTGCAGCCTTGAATTTTTACTGCACTTTGATGATGGAAGACTATAATAATCTGTCACAAGTATCATCAGATGTCAGTATCACTGTATGTAGAGTGCTGGATTGAATTTGGTACAGTGCCTATTATTGTTACCACAAACCAAGCTTACCGCTTCATTATTAAGAAGCAAGGAAAGAGCAGCATGTGCCTGACCTTTGAATAGCATAGGTGCTTTCAAAAGACATATTCACTTTCAGATTTTCTTTAAGCTATCCCTTCATACAGACTTCCTACTGCTAGTAATGGCTATTTTTATACCTTTTCTTCCCCCCCCCCCCCCCGGATAAATATGTCATAGGGTTCATGTTTAAATTTTACCAAAGTGAAAAAAAAAAATCACTTTTGTGTGTTACACTTACTTATTATGCCTTCACTGAATTTGGGCATAACGGCTTGTAGCTACTCAGAAGTGCAGTGATTTGAGGACAGTTGGTCTAGAGAAATGCTGAAAAATGACACAATAAAAACCAATGTATAGCAGTGCTGCTGAAAATGTGTGTGGTTGACACATTCAGCAAGTGTTTAGCCCAAAATATTTTACCTATTCCTTGCTGCTTTTTATTCTATATATAGGCTACATGTTGATCGTCGGTGTAATAGAACATATAACTGGTTCTGAGAAGGATTAGAAATTACAACCATTGTGTCTGTCAGCTCATTTTTATCTTGATTCTTGCTGTCATTTTAGTCAATGGAAGTAGTCCCATGTCCTGTATTTCCCTAACTCAGAAAACCAACAATAACCAAAACCAACTTGGTCCATTTCTATACCTTGGAAGTTTTACTGGTAGCATGCAGCCACCAGCATTGATACAAAGAGTGTGCACACCGCCTATGCTCACGGTATGCATCTTCACAAAAAGTCCAAGACATTATAGACAAGCATCACTGTTCACTTCCTCACAGTGGCCTTTCTGAGGCATTTTTGTAACAAGCTGTGAAATACCAGTAGTGCATTAAGAGAATTATGAGGCTCAGAGCCAAGTTTGCAGAGGTATTTCTGTAAATGACAGAACTCATTTACTCTTGGTTTTGGTTTTTTTTAAGACCTTTAGGTATTTCCCTGCACTTCCTCACTCTTTCTAGCATCTCACACACAGCTCCTCAGCAGACCAGCAGAACTGTTTTGAGACAGCAGTTGAGTGGGATATACCAAGATAAACTCAGTAACTGCAGCAGCTGTTTGAACAGTGATCAGAACAGGGAAATCTAAGAAAGTAGGTGATACAG